TTTTAACTTCAGATTATAGATAAAATTATACACTTTTCTAGTACTTATATTTATTAGAATAAAATAAAAAAAAGAATTAAAATTACCTGATGGTATGTCGTCCTTTCCTTGACTTCCGTTGTGCATGATAACTGAGGCTCTGTAGTTGGATCTAAAATTTGGATTGCTTATAGTCTGATCGTATGAGGGTGGTTGTCCCTTCTGTCGGATGCTCATGTCGATAGGGGTGTCAGAAGTGCCACATCCGTTCGTTGATGACGTGTTCGTAACAGTGCTACTGTTGTTCTGATCCTGCTTTTCAGAGCCTGATTGTTCTAAATTTTGTATGAACGATTCCGGAAGTTTGGGATCCGATTTTCGGGTATATTCCGCGCGAGTTCGACGATCACGCTTCCATTTCGATGTGGGCAATTGTTTGGACGTACTTTGAGACTTCAGATCGTCTAAAATTTTAGAAATAAGGATGTAGGCTGAATGCGGGTTGAAATTCAATCTATTAAAGAGCTTATACTCTTTAAAATACCCTTGAATTAACTTGTGTGTTACAATGCCCATTATCTTAGTAATTACAAAAAGAAAAATTGAATATTGACGCAATAGTCAGAGATTGAAGAGATTCGAGAGTTACGTTACAAGTCTTATATGCAAAATTTGATTTAGGATAAGTGAAGTTATTAATAAAAATTAGCAATAAAACAAATTAGACGCCAAACATTCTGCAAAAAATACCATTTTTAAAAGTTTTTACTAATCAAAATTTGCAGGATGAAAATCCAGATTAACTTTTGTGATGTCATTGATATTTATACAGTGTTTAAAAGAAAAAAAGCTGCTGTTAACTGTTGCTTTTATTCATTTACGAAGAATTTGAGCCAAAATAAACGGAGTTATAGTCAATATGATGTTATGCGAGGCTTATTTGACTTAAAATGTAACTACTCCGTATAGTATTAGGATTTGACTGATTAGTTTAAGTATTTATCAAGTACTTAATTAATTATGGATACTGTACGTAACGGTTGAGAGTTTAGGTTTTTTAGTTTTTTTTTTTTTGAATTACGTAATTTTCTGTTTTTATCATTGGCATTGTTATTTTTTTACGGTATTGTTTAAAGTACAGGATGCTTGATTCATAAGAACGAAACTTGGTCGACTTCCGGTATAAACGGAAGTAGTTGCGATGAAGCAACAGTTCTTATTGTCATCTGAATAGCAATTTTAATTCAATTTATTACAACTTGAAACATTTCGCGCTTTCGTTTGTAGGAATTCTATTGTGCAATTACGTATTTAGAACTATGTTAAAAGAATGTTGTAATTTTCTGCCCAAAAGAAATTCGGTCATCGTGGATTCCATTGAAATGCTTTTACAATTGCTTAATTCGAAGTTTCGTATTCGAATATCGTTGAAACGTGTGTACTATATTATAAAACTAGAGACCATCAGTAGAGTCATCCGGAAATATTCAAGGAATGATGATAAGCCGATGGAATGTTATAAATATTATATGTGTTATAACATAACACGATTTTTTTGTTTGTGGATAACTATTCCGACCACAAATTCTTAATTTATGACTTCATTAAACGGGCATGCGAGGTTATATAGAAGTATTTTTCAACAACCTCATCGTAAGAGACAACAACAAAAGGAATCGTGTTCTATTTTACATTTGTTAACTCTGTATCGAAAGAATCTCGTACAGTTTTTATCTCTTACAGCAGGCCATAATAATAGAATCAGGAATAGGGATAAAAATGTCAGCCTAATAGCAATAAGTATACTATTTTATGAACATATACCCAGAGATATGGTTTATTAATATTTATAAAAATTAAATATAAAGTACCTCTTTTTATCTTGCCTTTAAATACTTTTTTGAGAAAAGCATTTTGTATTTTATTTAAAATGGTTTTTCTAACGTATTTTCTATTTGTAAAAACGCAAAATACATTTTCGCCTTTGCTAGTATCACCGATTAAATATTATATAAAATAATGAATATATTGTTTTCCGGGTTCAATGTCATGGTCCATGGAATTTTGAAGTTCCAAATTGATATCAGCACCTGCTAAATCACCACTTATCGTACTTTTAGCAAGAAACTACTAAATTCTATGAATTACGACGAAACAGTCCGCAAAACAATATCGAATTGATATATGCCAGCTGTGTAAAACTGAAAATTACAAGATACTGTGATGTGCTAATAAATGCTTATAATCCAAAATGTTTAGAAAACGATTCGAAAAACTTCAATTAATGGATGAACTTAAAGCTAGAGAAACTATGGATTCTATTTCATTCTCTTATTGTTTAAAATTAAAAAAGTATTTGCATTTTGTATTTAAATACTTTTAAAAAACCATTTTGCACGACTCCGTATATTCCTATACTATTTTATGAACCACTTTATCTTTTTTTCTTGTGGATCTTTAAGAAACTGTAGAGTTTAATAGCAATGCCCTTTGCAAACAAACACTTTTGAATTTTCATTGTCAAGAAAGATAATTTACATATTACTTAATATTTCTGTCGAAAGCTATCTATAAATCAATCGGGGTATCTGCTTTCAATAAAAATTGTAGATACAAAAAAAAAAATAAAATTTCTTATTATACCCTGCATGACTGCGTAACACGTAATCTAATATATTCTTCGAGTATCGGATGTTTATGTTGCAACGGANTAATTTTTTCTTAATTAATGAGTGTTGCTGACATTTTATAATTATTCCAATATCGTTTTCATTTGGACGAAATTTAATTTCATTATATTCTATTAAATTGAAACTTTGGCATTTAAAAATTTTATATGTGCAGTGGATGGATGTTTATGACCAAGATTCACAGTTTCACATTTATTTTTTTTTTATTTTACATCAACTTAGACGGAGAGCACCGTTCCCTTATCTGTTGCGTTAGAGTCTTTTTTGTTCAGTTTTAGCCATGTGTCTCCGAGAGCCTTTGCAAAGTGATCATCAACCGTTAGGCCCGAGTTGTCCATTAATTCTACAATACTGTCCTGGTTTTTTACAATTGTTGTTTTCTTCACGGGTTTGTCTTCCTTGGACGTTTCTCCATTTGAAAATATTTTAATGTAGTCTTTGCCCAATGATCGCCTGAAGTGCTCGTCTATTATCGGATCACACATTGACATACCTGTAAATAAAAAAAATTATAAGCAAATTAAACATGTTTACGAAAATAAATAACAATTCAATTAATTTTCATACGGTTAAATAAAATTTAGAAGAAAAATGTTTGAATTATAGGTTTAAAAATTTCGATTTATTATTTTTTAACGTTTTTCTTTATTTTAAATTTTCGTTATCGTTCAAAGATCTGTTATTTAGTTTTACCCTCGCACTAAACAAAACTCTTTGTTTTCTACCGAGTCTAATTCTTGTAACTTGCAACCCTTTTACAACACACTTCCTAATATTGCACTTTTATTAGTACCCAAACATATCACTGAAACTTAACACAAAAACTCTACATAATGAAATAAACTTCAGCAATATAAATCGGACATGTTTATGTTTCCATGTAATAATGCATTACATATTTTATTAAAATTAACACGATTTGTAAATATCGGCGGGAAGGTTTTATATTTTGATTGATTATTATGACTCACGTGTTTGTAACTGATTTCGGAACAGGAGACGATGCGTTCGTTGCATCGCCAAGAGGGAGGGGGTACGATCCCCAGCCGTTTCATCCCTTGCACATTATCGGTTGTCTCTCTTCTTCTGCATGTCCTTCTTTTGGCAATGTTTTGAGGGGTTCCCTGCTTGCAATAAGAGTTTTTTTACGTGGGGTGTGCATTGTGTTGTGCACGATGCACCCCGAAGGGTAGTTTACTGTTGTTTTGAAATAAGCGTCTTTATACGAGTTCGATTCAAAATAAAACTCTTGAATACTTCGCTTAAGTTTCTGCCTATTAACCATAATAATTTTATTTTTATTTGAAACNGAAGAGTAAAATGCGTTCACAATTATCATATTATATGGTGTAGCCAGTTCTGTTTTCTGTTACTTTTGTTATTTACTGTACTTAGAACCGTTTTTACACACACTTAATTTTTCCGAACTTTGTAGTCATCAATAATTTTTTGCGAAACAGTATGAAATCTGAGAAAGATCCACGTTTCCTCTAGGAAACCATTATGCAAAAGAAATTGTTGTTTTCTTATTGTTGTTGTTTATTGCGAATAAAGACGTTTCTCCAGAAGCTTTTACACAATATGATTTTCTTATTATTATCTTAATTCCGATATTGCACATTACGAAATATTAAATATATACGTAACACAGGGTGCTAATTAGGCTACTGAATAAATTTTCTTCACTATACATAATCTGTAAAAAAAAAAAACAAAAAAAAGAAAACGTAAAAATGTATGTTTACATCTTTAGAACGTATGGTTATTTTGCGATAACCTGTTTTAATAATCAGTCGGCTTGCATACATATTTATTATCAAAACTAGGTCGCATTATCGTCAAACAACTGTGATGAGGTGTTTAGATTGCCAATATTTCAGTGAACTTGTAGTTTACGTGAATTGAACACAGCAAAAGGTTATACCCGTGATGGTAATGAATTTCTAGGCCTAACGATACAATTTATTATAGATAATAATTGGTAGAAATAATAAATACATTAGATAAGTACATTCGTTAGATCCACACCAAGGCACGAACTTGGATGTGGATTACCACTCAAGCTGAAAGTGAGAAAAGCCTTCATCTCGAATTTTTAGTATAATTATTTATTCAATTGTGGTATTGTCATTCGTTTTATAAAGTATCCTATATCTATATTATCCGAATCAGTTAAATATTTTTAAAATCTTTTAGGAATCGCATAAATGCCCTAAATTGTTTGCATTTCCAATAGCATAATCTATTCATAAATTAAAAATTGTAAATCTAATTTCAATTAAGTAAATTCTATTACGACAAGTATCTGATAAATATATCATATTTTTATTCCTTTTTACATTGTTCGCGATTAGATTTTTGGAGTTGGACAATGTGAGCATATATTTAAGTAGTGAACGACGCGATTTTCTAATTAATTCCGAACATGTCTAGGCGAATTCCGAAACTCGTCCAATATGTACTAACAATATATTGTGTATGCTAATGGAAAAGAAAATCGTATTCACTTTGCATTCTTAATACGTAGTTTTGGTAAAAAGGTCACTTCTAATCGATGATGAAATATTTCCATTTTAAAAGTAATGGCCGACAGACGCGAAAGTTTTGCTTAGGGATATTTAAAATTCCATTTTGGGAACATCATTTACAATTAGAGATTTAATATATTTCTGGCTATTTTTATAATTTTTAGTATTCCCTCAATTTCCTCTGCGGATAGTGACGACTTACTTTTAATGATTGAAAAATAGATTAATAACAGCTATAATATAAATAAAAAGGAGATAGTTTTTAGGTTTTTTGTACATTTACAGGCTATATACTATATAATTTTGTTTCAAATTATGTTGGATATATACATATTATTTATGGAACAAGAAGAAGTACGAGAGCGTTCTTATGCCTATTAGTTAAATGAAAATTCGTTGGAAAATGCGTTGATATGTACCACTTTAGATTTTGTTTCTACCCCTTACTATCTAAGATACTGTATCATTTACACAAAGTTAAACTATTTTTACCTTGATCTAGCCACGGTTGCCAAAAAACTTGCTTGGTATGTCCTTTAAAACCATTTCCGAAATATCCTACATCGGGAAATAGCAAAAACGTAAGTTCTTTTAGAAACGGAGGAAACTCCATGATATACTTGTTCTCTGAAGACGCAGCCGAATTAATTTGTTACTTCCACTAATATTTAAGTGAGATATATAAAATATCGTATATTTAACGCGCTAGTTTCAAAAGAATAGTAGCACCTGGTTGCGTTTCATTCATAAACGAAAACGACCTAGGTAGTCGTCTAAATACGAGTTGAAATTAATTTCGAATTGTCGCAAACTACTTTGGGACCAACATACGGGAATAATACGGTCCCTAATCGCGTCTCGCGTTCGGGTCTTTTTTGTTTTCGACTTCCGCGAGCTTTGTCTTTACCAGGTATCCCTTATGAACTTATCTTTGTCTTATATGTTAGAGCGACGCCGACAAAACCGGTCCAAGATGGCTTTACGTCTTCACCGGTCGTATTTTCGGAAAAAGTTCTTCGATTGAATGAAGCCGAGAGGGTACCTATACGAGCGACACACAAGGACGTTCGAAGACGATTGTTTAATGACCGACAAGGACGTGAAGGCCGCGGTGTAATAAGAGACATGGGACATTATTAAAAAAATGTACAGTAAATGAAAAAAGTTGTAGCAAATGCCTAATTGTCTCTGCTGCGACAGTACAATCAGAGTTACTTAAACTCAAATTTCGCATCTCTTTCAATTATCCCTTTATAAGATATGGAAAATAGGAAAATCATTAGTCAATAAGGCGAAAAGTTAGAAGTGAAAATGAAAATGAAAATTTCATCAAAACATTTAAGAATGTTTGGGAGAAATGTCAAAATGCTATGAGACAAATAAAAATTTGTAAGAACGTTCCTCATTCAATTCTAAAACTCCTGTAAAAATTACAAATCGATTCACTAAACCGTTAAAAAATTATTGAAATTTTAAAAAATTGTAATTTTACACGTCATTTTATGGAGATTCGTTAACCGAACAGATTAAATTTATTTTTATTAACAGAAAAAAAGCTACCAGAAATTTCAAACTTTTATAATAAGTAACTTGAACTCTGGAGAATCACTTTAGCGTAAGGTTATTCAAATTCACTAAATGGTTATCGAGGAAAAAATGAAAAATTAGCTGAAAATCTCGTTTTTACTTGATAATATAATGATAATATTTATAATTGTCTGAAATAAATGCAATTTTAAAGTTTTAATTATTATTTAAACATATTAAAAAGTTTTACGCTCATTATTAATAGAGATTGAAACTAAATATTTTTTTGTTTCGAAGCTGAAATCAAGGCATATTCACTGCCAAAAGTCAGTTAAAATTTTTCCATATTATTCGTTATTTCTTATTTTATTCAAAGTTTTTGGTTAAATTCCAAATTTTCTCTCAAACCGTATACTTTTTTTTAGTATAGATAGTATTTATTTACCTCATTATGTGCTGCAAAACCTAATTAATCACGAATTTCTAATTCTATGTACAATTGTCTCCGATTGTACCTCCCAAACATTCTTAAAACCTGTAGAATTATCTTTTCATAACTAATCTTCAATTACTCCTGGCTTTCATAAGATATTTTCCCAAGCTTCAGTGTAATTTCTAGTGGTAATAGTGAATATTGTATTATTTGAAGAGTAAAATGCGTTCACAATTATCATATTATATGGTGTAGCCAGTTCTGTTTTCTGTTACTTTTGTTATTTACTGTACTTAGAACCGTTTTTACACACACTTAATTTTTCCGAACTTTGTAGTCATCAATAATTTTTTGCGAAACAGTATGAAATCTGAGAAAGATCCACGTTTCCTCTAGGAAACCATTATGCAAAAGAAATTGTTGTTTTCTTATTGTTGTTGTTTATTGCGAATAAAGACGTTTCTCCAGAAGCTTTTACACAATATGATTTTCTTATTATTATCTTAATTCCGATATTGCACATTACGAAATATTAAATATATACGTAACACAGGGTGCTAATTAGGCTACTGAATAAATTTTCTTCACTATACATAAAAAATAATTGACTTTCTGGTAATTAGAAGTATAACAATTACGAATTTTTCATTTTAAACAGATTAATTATAGACATGCAAGCAATAATTTAATTTTCGAATAATACTAAATAACCTTTGAACTGCCTTAAGTAAAAATCCCACGGTTTTTCGAGTAATACAAATACATTTTATGCACACATACACAAAACTCAGAAACTTTTATTTACGATTATAAAACAGAAAAACAATCTCCAGCCCCATTGGTACTATTTAAGTTAATATATATGAAATTTGAGTAAAAAATAAAACGGTTATTAATATTTAAAATTTAAAAGTAGCTAGTACTTCTTTTATTTTTAATTACTTTATGATAACACATTTTCATAAAGTAAAGTAAAAAATTAATTTTGGAATGTACTGATCTACCAGGTTACTTTTAATTCTGTATTTCCATTATTCTGTTGGACATATAATGGAGCTGATAGTTTTCCCCTTTTAAAATTTCATTTGCAGTTTGTAAGTCGGTTAAAATGAATAGTTTCAAATTACAAATATTTCGTGTGGTGCTCCAAATGATGATAATTACGTCGATATTTTTTAATTTCCTTTAACAAAACAAGTTCTGTAAGCAATTTAATAAGAATGTCGACAAGGAATTTAACATTTTTTATTTGTAGCTGTCAACATGTTTTCATATTATCTTTTCAATAACACTTTTTAACGAACGTACATTATATTTTTGTAACCTTAATGCTTTTCTTAATACATGCATGCACATACTCTCTCATAAAAATTGACTTACAAAAACATGAACCTACCTATTTTACATTTAAATAACTGACTACCTACATTACGTTTGATGTTTAATTAAATTTTCTATTTGATATTTGAACTCTCTTACACACATGGGCATATTTATATCTGTAATACTGGATGCACCTTGACATAGTCTTAATTTTTTAGCCTTCAACTTTTTAGTTACCTTGAAAGTAAACAATAATTGTAACTGTTGTGAGTCATTTGATGCTAAAAAGGACATTCAGTCCTTAAAAAAAGTACAAAATGCTCAATCTCTTACAATAACATATGAACCAGGGCTAGGAATTGTATTAGAATAATTGGAATGATAATTATATCCATAATTCATTTCAATGACTTGAAATTTAAATATTCAAGTACCTGTCCATACATGTATCTGAATATTCAAAATTTCAAATATCCAAATATTTGAGTCATTTGATGCTAAAAAGGACATTCAGTCCTTAAAAAAAGTACAAAATGCTCAATCTCTTACAATAACATATGAACCAGGGCTAGGAATTGTATTAGAATAATTGGAATGATAATTATATCCATAATTCATTTCAATGACTTGAAATTTAAATATTCAAGTACCTGTCCATACATGTATCTGAATATTCAAAATTTCAAATATCCAAATATTTGTTGTTTGATTATACAAANAAATATTTAAATATGATTCGACCCCTAGGTACACCTAATAGAAATAATTTAGTTTTTTCCAAAATAAAAGAGTGCCGACACGAAGGAATATATATACACATAATATTTTCATTAAAAGTAGTTATCGATAAAATCAAGGACTTTTTATTATCCATATTATCTTGGAGAATTTCTTTACGATTTCGTAAATCGTGACGTACAATATTAATCAAGAATGACTGAAAGACTAGCAGAATGATGAACTTTGAAGGCTAATGATTACTGGATTCGTCAATGTCCGAAGAATTCTAAGAATGCTGACGACACGACAGTGTGAAAAATACTCATTTCTTCTTGCGCTACTACAAAGCTGGGCTCGTAAAAAATTGGGCACCATAATAAATCTCATTGTTATTTAACTTACAGCATTATTTGGCACACACGGCTCAGTGGATGCCATAAGCTACTTCGATCCGGCCTGTTTAGATCATTTGTAATGGTCGTTTCGGCCGCTATTAATTGCGCTAGTTTCAACTGTTTTCGTCCTAATTACGTAAATTACGCTTTAATGCATTAGCAGCAAACACGACGTAAAAATCAAAACAACATAATATAAAACGAAAATATTTCACGAAAAAGCTACCGTTGTCATTTAACACATCTGAGTGACCATTTTTTGTCTACACAATCGGTAAAAACAAAAGAACATTGTCATTTAGCATTTTTCAAAAATATTCGAAAACAATTCATCCATTCAAATCAAATTTGAAGTATTTTCGCGTGTACTAAAATAACGCAAAGTTGTTTTTTAAAGTTATTTTTAAGGCAAACGATTAATAATAATAATAATAGTAATAATCGGAACAAGTACAATGTCCAGTCGGACCGTAGCAATAATAATAACCACGGGGCAGATGTGTCGGAGGTTGAAGTCTTGCTCCAAGAGAACAAGCAAAGAAAATTCCATCCTTGGTATGCGGTTGGGTCACTACCGGCATGCATTTTATATAGCACATAATAATATTGTACACATGTGTGCGGTACAAATACATGAACTATACGCACACACTGCACACATGTGTGTGCCAGTTTTTGAAATAGTTTCAAATTTAAACATGTGACCTATACTTAAAAAACATTTGAAGAATGGTGTGTTTTTATTTTCATCTCGCAATTATATGATATGTGTAGGTATCGATAAAATTTATATATGTACCTATTAAGAGAGAGATGCACTTCTTCTGAGGCTTTGCATAAATCAACTTGATTATTCTCATTTTAATTGTTTAAATGTAATAATAATTGTGACATTTTAGTCGACAAGATTCATCCAGCGCGCCGATTGTTCTATTAGGCAAATAATGCAAATTTTCCACACTAAAGTTTGGGTTTTAGTATAAATCTGATCTTTTTCACAATTTTTAGTGTTAATCAAAGTAGACCANTTACAATTTATCCCACTATCCCGTTGCTTAAGACATGTCAAAATTGAGATTATTACAAGTAACCTAATAAATTCTACTGTTTCTACGGCAAATTCAGTCTTTTACATTTGAAAATTATAATTTTGCATTGGCATAAAAATTTAGTTTTCTCGGTTTACTGACACAATAATTGTTTTAAAGGGTGAAATTTTCTGTCATACATGCGAGCTTGTCATAACTTTTAAAGAAAATAAAACGGACAATTCTTACGAAAACTGGAAAACTTATCCTTTCTCTAACGCATAAATAACCTTTTAGCGAACAAAATAATACATGTTACTTGAATAAAACAAAAATAGTCGAAAAAAAAAAATAGTTTGTCTCTGTTTTTCAACCATGTGTTATCCGTTTTTTCAAACAGTGCTAAAGTTTCTTTTTTTTAGGGTTAAAATCTAGTAAAGCAAAGTGAAAATTTCAAATACTAAAAATGTTTTGTTCCACGAAAATAATATATTGGTTGGTTGGTTTAAATAGTTTGGCTCATAAATTCACTGAAAGTAATAAGTTTTTGTTTAGTTTTGCGTATTTGGTCTTGGCTTTAGTCTTGGTCTTATTCGTTAGGTCTTGAAGGCAAGACCAATTTTGTTCATCACTAATAATTTTATTTTCTATAATTTCGAAAATATGGAAATGGGGGAAAGTATTTCTTCAATATCAACAATATCTTTGGAACTAAGAAATATTCTTGTTGCTAGACAACATCCTACATAAAGACGAAAAAGATTTTTTTTCTACACAAATTCAATTGCCAATGATTGCCCAATATGTTAACCGAACATCGAATTTTTAAGAAAATATGTATATGAAAAGATGACTAAAGGTATTTCCCTATTATACCAAGATGCCATTCTTTGTTGGTTGCATGCAACAGAATATCCCTACGTTTGGTTTTGAATTTGCCACCAGGTATTATGTAATAATGCTTTCTTTAAAATATGTAGGAAATATTGAATATTTTAAAATGTACATTATTATATGAAGTTATGGTAAAAACTGAGCTAACGTATTGAAAAGTAAATGTGCCATTTCACTTTCTAAGGAATTTGTATACAAGCCACATAAAAAGCGACATTCCATTTAGTTTCGAGGAAAGTGAACATATACAAAATTAAAAACTTTCGAATGACAATCAGACACTGTGGGTGCAGATCTAACTTGCATCAAAATAACTAGTATTTAAGCGAGCAATAGATTTTAAATCATTATTTTACAAACAAAAAGGAATGATTTTTATTGCTGATTAAAAAGAATACGATATTATTTTAGTAGATTCAAGTAATAACGTCATGTATCTAGATGTCTTTTGTTTTGCAATAAGTACACAGGCAGTTAAGATTATAGTTAAAAAAAATATAAACAAAAAAGTTTCAAATGAACGATGTTACAATGAAACATTACAATAAAGCTTAAAATAAAACAAAATAGACATGAGTGTCGAGTTTTTTAAAAGTTCTTATGTGGAATTTTGGGTTTTAGTGTTTTCTTTGCCTTTTAATACTTGGGAGGGAGACATGGGGTAAAAAATTATAACGCAAAATAAATTTCAAAGAATGTGTGTATTAAAAAGGTGACTATCACATCAAACTCTAGGCAGCAAATCAAACTTTGCATAAAGATAATAAATTATTCTAATATTTGCATTAAATATGTACCGAGCAGATAAACAGTTTATCGCGAAATATTTTCGAGTTCTTTTAGTTACTTTCGGCAATCTTATACATTTAACATCTCAATGCATTATACAAGAATTTTTATTTATTTTACGTTGAATATTCAAGGCGCGGCGAAAATAGTTTTCCAAATCGGAATTTTTCTCGTTGTTGAAATAAATTCAGTAACAAACAGTAATATAGAAGACATACACGTAAACGATATCAAATGATATGTACCTAATATAATCGTATATCTGAAGGAAATGGGAATTTGGGTTTGGTCGATAATTTATTGACTGCAAATGGCGTGGCGTGGTGATGAGAACCAATAATTAAGAAAACGCGATCCTCGTCTGGTAGTGTAGATAAATTACCGACCAATAAAATAAACTGTTTATATATTAATTAATTCTTTTGTTACCTGCGATAGTTGGTTGATTTAGAGTTTCTTGTAGCATTGTAGCAGCTCTTGACAGTACATCTAAGGGAGTTTCCATTTCTTGTTTAAAATTCTACGGGAATGTATCTAAATCACTTGGTTATTTTCTGAAATAATAAATAAATAATCTTCCTAATACCTGAATTTATACGGATAACAAGTAAAATTTAAATGGAAGAACTAAATTACGCTTTAAT